TCCAATTCATCAAACTCCCAGCTTTCCAATTAAGTAACATTCCATGGTAAGTCAGATATCTATGTTCTAAAATGAGTTATCCGAGCCCGTGACAGAATGAAGAAAGAGTTCAAACCAGATTCCTTAAGTAATCAACTCATTGTTTCACAGTGGATAATTTCTATACTCTTGCTTAGGCCTCTGAAGTTAAACTGTGAATGTTTAACTGTTAAATATAACCAGTTTTGACTTTTAGGAAGAGATTTCCTCAACTCACCAAACTCCCAGCACTCCATTCATGTCATACTTAATTAATGTTACTCGCTAAAATTTCTGACAACCCATAAAGGACTTTCTGACTGGAAGAACTTCCGAGAGGCCGGTATCCTGTCACTGGGTCCTCCTTTATTTACATGCGGAGAGTCCTTAACACTGATCCAACCCTCTCAGAGCCAGGTGAATGAACAGAATCATCTGATTCCCCTGGTTATATCTGTCAGCCAGGGCTCCATGACTGGACCAGATTAACAGCCCCAATCAGGGAACTCATTCTACGATATCAACCTGGCTGACCTCATTACAACAACAACATCCCTCCCTCTCAATCATAGGATATAGTCTGGTTCTTTATCTTGCAGCGTTTCCTGGGGCGTTTTTGCACGGGGTTAAGTTCCTCCACCTCTGCGACAGATGCGGGTGGCGTCTAACACACAGTAGCTTGCTTCTTGTGCCCGGAAAGTCTTAGAAGAAATTCATTTTCTTCTTCAGGTCACAAAGGCATAAAGGCAGCAACATCTGCCGTGTCTACCTCAGATTTCAAGGTCTCTTCAATGCTTGACAGAGAAGGCGAACTCATGGGTTCCACCGGAATTTCTACAAGTTCTGAGGAGCTAGCACGTTTTGCTCCTGTTTACGAGTTTGCAGCTTTCATATGATCCATGTGTTCAGGACTGTCGCATCTACTTGAACTTTACAAGTCACAGGACCTGACCTTGCATCGACCATGGCTCTTACCCATGCAGGGCCATTTCTGTGGTTCCTACAGCAAACTCCCTGAGGCAAACTGTTTCTCTCACTTAGCAGAGTTTTATGTCTGGCCTTGGCCTTCCTGGTGCCATTGCACCCCCACAAAACAGATCCCCTCCCACAAATATAGAAAGATCAGATTTAACTTGGTATGGAGTTTTCTCCCCATTAGCAAATCTGCTGGAGCTATCCTTGTAGTTGCATGAGGGGTGGTTCTATAATCAAATAGGAACCAGGACAGTTTGTTATTGTAGTGAAGCTGTAGGCTTTCTTTAAGTCTGCCTTCAAAGCGTGGACTGCTGTTTCTGCCAGACCATTGGATGATGGATAGTATGGAGCTGTCCTTATATGTCAAATGCCTTTCGACTTTAGGAAATACCCAGCCATTGCTATCAATGTGTTTTTTTTAATTCATTTGTGGGATGTGGGCGTCGCTGGCTGGCCAGCATTTCTTGCCCATCCCTACTTGCCCTTGAGAAGGTGGTGGTGAGCTGCCTTTTTGAACCGCTGCAGTCCTCCAGCTGTGCTATTAGGGAGGGAATTCCAGGTTTTTGACCCAGCGACAGTATGGGGAGGGGTGGAGGGGTTGGGGGGGAAAGAGTGGGGACTGGGGGTTGCTGGCAGTGATTTTTGTTGTAGTTGGCACTCCAGAACCCTGGTGGAGTTCAGCCAGTATCTGGGGTGGTGGTGACCTTTGCACAGGACAATCACTCTTGTTCCCCATAATAATATGCCATTCTGTACTGTGATCTGGTCTCTCCAGGTCCAAAAAGGTTTTGATTCTGTTTGTGACAGTTCTTTGGCCTTGCCATCATCACCAGCTTTCGCTAGGACTGGATCTTTCTGCATCCAAGAACTGTGTCAGCTGTGACTGGAAATATGTCCAGAAAATTTAAAACCATTAGTGGCAGTACCACTGGTGGCGCATCTAACAGTGGGATGCGGCTCAACAGATCCGAATTGCTAGTTGGCCTCCTGGGCAATGTCCAACTTTTAATTTTCACACTTAGTATTACAGCCCACCACCGAATTTGGTGTGAAGCTATGTTTGGTACTGCCTTGTCCTCTACGGTCTACGATCTATTATTATAATAAATTTATACTAGTAAAGATATTGGTGGAACTTCCTGACTCCGAATATTACTACCAAACCTTCATTGTCTATTCAGGCGTATTTATGCTCTGCAATAGCAGAAGTCCTAGATGCATATGCCATTGGGCCACTTATGAGCTAATACTAGCCAGATGCCATACAGGAAGGCATCGCATGTCAATACCAGATCTTGCTCGGGATCATAGTGTACCAAAACCTTGAAGATGATAGCTGTTTTGTCACCTCTCTGAAAGCTATGGCTTGGCTACATGACCATTTCCAAGGCTGACCGTTTTTTATTTAAAAAGAATTGATGCAAGGGTGCCAGGACGGAGGCCAAGTTATGGATGAACTTTGTGCAATAATTCACCAGCCCAAGGAAAAACCAAAGTTCCGGGACACATGTGGGAAATGGGGAACCTCTGATTACCCTAACTATTTTCAAGTGTATTCCGGTCTTTCAACTCTGTAGCCCAATTAAGTCACTTGGGGTTCGTGGAACACATTTTTCCCTTCTAAGGCAAACACCTACCTGGGAGAAATGGCTAAGAACTACCTCCAACTTCTCTAAGTGCTCCATGTTGGTCTTTCCTGTTATTTGCATGTCATCTAGATAAATGGTGACCTGGGGTTGGCCTTGTTCACTGAAAAATTACACAGGCTGACGATACCACAAATGGCAATTTCATATGTTGGTACAAACCCTTATAGGTATTAACTATAGCATACTTCTGGGAATCCTCATCTAACTGCAACAATAAGTACTCATGGCTCACATCCAGCTTTGTGAAGGATAGCCCCCCCAGGCCAACTTTGTGAATGAATCCTCTACAGGAGGGATTGGGTATTTATCTAGCTGCAAAGTGGTTTACAGCTTAAATTTTCCACAAAAGCAAACCGACGCATCGGGCTTCACCGTCGCTGTCCACTCAGCAAACTGGACCTGTTTGACGATTCCTTTACTTTCCAGTATTCTGATTTCTGCCTGTACTTTTGCCCATAAGGGAAAAGGTGCTGGGCAGGCCTTGCATAATCATGGAATTGCTTCCTGGTCAACATGCAAGGAGGCCTTGGCTCCTTTAAAAGACCCCAGACCTTCCTGAAAAGCTTCTGGGTATTAAATTTGGACTTCGTTCAGGCAGCCATTTTCTAATGAAAAAATGTTGAGCCTAAGTAGGTGAATCTTTCTCAACCAATTTCGCCCCAGCAGGCTTGGGCCCGAGCCTTTGACAACAATCAGTGGTAACTGAACCAGCTGCTTCTCATAATAGACCAGACTCAAGTTATACCCTTAATCTGTAAAGGCTCTCCAGTATCGGTTCTCAGTCTAGTCGAGGTCTTACACAAACTTAAAGGTTGGAGGCCACAGCAAATTTTGTTGAAGACAGGTTCTGCAATCACTGAAATGGCTGCACCGGCAACCTCCATTGGAACCAAGTGACCATTTAACCAGACATTTATTTTGATTGGTTCTGATTTGGATGTTGCTGAGCAATTTAACTGTTCCAAACCAGATATAGGTGGACTTTACAAGGTGTGCACTCGCATGGATACTGGCATGTGAGTTGTTACTCAATTTAGGAGTAGTGGGACTCTTTTGCTGTCTTGAGTTCGCATCCCAGCAGCAACTACAATGGCTTGTCAGCCCAGATCCTGAAGAAAACGTTAACCGTTTGGCCAAGGCTCAGCTTTGTTTTGGGTTTTTGCTGTGGGCTGACCTACAGTCCCTCCGTTCAGGGTATATCCTGAGCGAGGCTATGCAATTGCCTTCACTCAAGTGGTGTTGCCCAACCTCAATTGGACTGGTGAAGGCATCTGAATACACTGCAACTTATAGGCTCCACTTGTCGCACTTTCCAACGATAAAGCCAGTTGTAGTGCCTGCCTGAAGTCCAACTGGGCTTTCGCTAGCAGGCGCTTTTGCATGATCACATCATTAATCCCACATACCAAATGGTCCCTCAGCATCTCATTGGTTTAACGCTGAAAGTCACATTCCTCTGCCAGTCACTATAACCTTGTTAACCCAATGCAGATTACCCTGGCTCTTGAACTGCTGAGTAAAACTGACAGCACTCAGAATTAGAGGGGGACTTGGGGTCATAATAATCCTTAACTAAATCCATCAATTCTCGAAAGGTTTAGTATCTAGTAGCTCAGGGAAAGTTAGACTTCTGATAACTGAAAAAGCCACGTGTCCACAAGCTGTCAAGAGGAATGCTTGTTGCTTTTTATCTGCCCCAATGTCATTTGCCCAGAAAAATTAACGCATTCTTTGCACATACTGGGCCCAGCATTTGGTGTCAGGATCAAATAAGTCAAGCTTCCCAAATAATGGCATGATGTCAGAAATGCTTACCCCAAATCAAAGATGACTGTTATGAGCGAAATTCTTCGGGAGCATGTTTTCCTCTCGCTGCCTTTGAAATAATTCCACACAGACCAGGATCCCATCACCAAGTCATCCTTTATTTCCATGTGGAAAGACCTGGACACTGGTCCAGCTTCCTCAGAGCGAGCTCTCAGAGTGAACAGCATGTCTGACACTCCTGTCAATCAGGGCTCCCTGATTGGACCAGATTAACAGCCCCAATCAGGGAACTCATATTCTATAAGGTCCATCTGGTTGACCTAGTTACAATTACTACATTAGCGAATCTATTTTTATAAAATATGTATTAACGTGAAACGTATTCAAGTTTCAATTACATTTCTGTAAGGTTACAAGCTCAATAAATATTATCCAATTATATTCAATTTTTAATTTAACTTGAATTTGAAATATTTGATCAGAATAACATAGATTATTGGTTTTGTTAGATATATTTATTTCAATCTTTGAATAGGAGAACTGAGTGCATTGTGATCCTTAACTCGACTTAAATTTTTATAAACACCATACCCGTAGGCCGTGAAAGCGAGGATTACTATAAAAGAGCTTCATCTGCTCAGGTGGTAGTGGTCCCAATACTCTCTGAATTGTGTAAAGCTGATCTATTTCACTTTCTCCTGGAAAAAGTGGCTGTCCGTCACTTAGCTCTCCAAGAATGCAACCCACAGACCACATATCAACAGCCTTTCCATACGGAGCTCTGCAAAAAAAAAAGAAGGAAAACAAAACATACACAGAATTATGTTAAGTTTTAACATTTTACCAGATAGTGTGATTCAGCCCCTCTTTTTTGTGTGGGGGGTGGGGGGTGGGGGAAGAGCTGAGAGAGAACAGGAGTGTGGCTATAAAGAAGACAAACATGATAAAATATTGACAATACAAAACTTTAAAACCTAGTGCACTTGCATGTAAATACTTCAATTCATAACTAAGTAGCAATATTAATTATTATATTTTATACTAATTCGTGCCATATGAAGGTGAGCAATTAACTATGTCTGATAGTAACAAGAAGTGACAATGCAAGACTGAAATAACCTCTCCACCACCATCCCATTATGTATTACAATAAACTTTACAACAGTATGAAAATATTAGTCAGCTAAGCCATACTGAATACTCATGTCCACAATCTTAAATTCACTGAATTTGAACAACTCCTGGCAAGCAACTGTGCCTGTGCTTAAATAGGTAAATATGAATACACTTTCTTTAGTCAATCGTGAAAGGTGGGCATTACTGGCTGAGCCAGCACTTTTTGCCCATCTCTAGTTGCCTCTTGAGAATAATGTTATACATCTTTTATTCAAGTCAAAACACTTGTGTGCAATCAAAAAATGCAAGATGAAGTCAAATCACCCAAACGGCAGCAGCATGACATAACTTTTATTTGAAATAAACAGTATCCTTGTAGATTATCATCATGCTTCCATACATCATACATACTTGTGCACAAGTTTATCCCCTAATTTTTGACCTGAAAAACTTTTTGTGATACATCTCGAAAACGTCCACCCCACATTTTCAGGGATTAAACAATGAAAGGGTATAATTTAATATTCCTTCAAAAAAAGAAAATTTCACAGCACCTGAACTTGATGATGAAAACAATCAATTCTATTGTTTTGACATACTACATCAAAAACAATTGCAACAAGTGTTCTGCACTAGAAATATAGGCAAGACATGGATGAACTTCAAAAGGCTAGCAAACCACAGTGTCACCTAACTTTTGAAAAATAGGTCCTTGTAAGGTCAACTGGCCACAAAAGTACAAGGCTCACAGTTGGTCAATCTTGTTTGGGTAATGGCAAAATTTAAGATGATGGTGATATTTAAGCACAAAGCTCTCATCAAAGAGAAATTTAAAAAAAAAGCATTGCTATCCATTTTCACGATGGATGAAGGCAGATGCAAGAATTGGCCTCAGGGTCCAAGCTAAGGAAGTGTAGCAACTGCATTATTTTGAAACTGACAACATTTCAACAGTCACACTAGAGCTACTTTAATAATTACAGTGAGAGAATGTTACAGTCAGTTGACATTACGTGAGGACATATTGGACGACCAACGATGACAAAATATAACCAGGAACAGCCAAGTATTGGAACAAATTGCTCAGCAATTCAAATAATCAGTGTGATTTCAAAAAATATGAACACGAATCGTTGCAGTTAATTTGTTACAGTATATATTTATATGGCATTGGATGAAACAAAGTTGGCAATGTTATTATATATAACAGTAGGTAATACTGCTTCAATGGATATTGTTTATAATGCTGTAACAGTTAGAGAACTAAAAGGGATTTTTAAGTGTTGATTTACACTACACTGCATTGAGATGGTCTTTGTTGATTTAATTTGGGCTCATATCAAGAACACGCATCAATACATAAAAAATATTTCAGGGTAAAGGACAACGTTGACACTTTGAATTTCATCCCAAAAAACTTTCCTCAAGTATTTGACTTTTACAGGGTCTGTAAGGTATTTGATGAATTCACAAATTTAAAAGAACTAATTGCATGACTCCAGCGCACTGCTGGGAAGAAATATCGTTTTAGTTTAATGCACTATTTGGAAAATCTGACAAAGTAGTTTGCCGTATTAGATATCTGACACGTCAATAAATGGTGGTCCAAACATGCCATTGAACCCATACAAAAGTAAACTCCCTGCTGCTGTAAAACAAAGCACAGAATTGCAGGCCTGAGAGCAAAACAAAAGGCCATGGTGAAAAATAATACGGAAATTGACAGAGATTACTGACCTATAAATGACAACCCATTTCAGTTTGAGTTTTTTTTCTAATAAACTGATATTACCCTTTCTAAGCAACTGATGTTACCCCTTCTAAGCAACCTTATTGTCCCTTTGTCTTCTACTAAAATTGATTAAAAACTGAGATTGTGGATAAATGCTTTGTGACCCTGACAAAGAGCATTAAGTAGTACACTCAAGACTGGGGCACAGAAAGACCAGCTGCACCTCATGATTGAGAAGTCTTGGTGAATATGGAAAACTTGAATACTTATTTATAATGGCACAGCTTTGCTTATTGGTCAACACTCTTCATATGTCAAACCAGGCAGCAGAAACCTCTGTTACTGCATCATCTCAGTCTCGAGAGTGATGGGTATCACTGGATACAAAAAATCCTGAATCAGGATTGGTGAACAATGAAATGGTGTTATACCAAGAGTGCAAAAATTTAAATTTAATATCAGTTAAGACTCAAAAGAATTTATGTCACTCTCAATTCCTATGTGTTTACAGTCCTTACCTCAATGAACTTCAAATACAAAACTGCACTTGTCACCAATCACACAACTAGAGAAAGATTCCAATGGATTTCAAATTGTAAAACGCAAGATATTGCATATCAATTTTCAAAAAGCATTAAATAAATTCCTTATTATTCAATTTTTTTGTGTTTTATTTTTACAAGTTATCCACTGGCAGTGCAAAACAGGAGAAGATGTCCTGCAATAATTCACTTTCCACTCAAGTTCATGCATTTGTAAAGAACACTATTCTCATATTAACTGGGGACAGAATAAATTACTGTTGTCCTCAAAATATTCAATTTGTCATGAATAATTCAGTTCCCCAATGTTATGCCATTTCAATGTGTGCTTAATTCATTTTTAACAGGTCCACTAAAGTAATTTATTATTTTACAATATTCTTCCAATCAACAACTGTCGAGTAGCTCAATGACTTACCCAAGCAGCAGCTCGGGTGAACGATACCACCTAGTGGCCACATATTCTGTGTAATTCGCACTGCTGCCCTCTGATAAGTTCCGAGCAAATCCTATATTATAAGAAGCCAAAAATGTGAGCACGTTATACAATCCCAAAACCTCAAAATGCTGTAGATAAATATTTAATGTATAAAAATTCTAAGACTTCATATCACGACTGTTTCTTTTAAAAAAATTAGGGTTATCACCTGGGTTTCAATAAAATTATGGGCAGATAGGGGATGAACAGAACAGGAATGGAAAATTGTGAGAAATCAGTTGCAATAAAAGTTATCTTCTTTACTTACTTTTGGCAATCACATTTTGTTGGGCATCTTATTTTTAAGCAGGCATAGGTGTCAACATCAAAAAGTTACATTTAAAAAACATTTGAAACAGAGGAGGTGCTTGACGAGAGTACCATCAAATGTATGTTTTTGACACCATATCACAGGAGGTACCAGATCACCATGAGTTGGTCAAAAAGTAGATTTTACATCTTGAAGGTGAACAGTTACAGTAAAGTAGATATTTAGCCAAGGAATTTTAAAATGGTAACCAGGGCAGTTGATAGCAATGCCACTAAAGGCAGAAGAAATAAAATCAGGCCAGAATTGCAGTAGTACTGACATCATGGTGGTACTGATATTCATGGTGGAAAATTATAGAAATTGTCAGGACAAAGGCCAGGAGGGGAACTGGAAACCATATGAGAACTCTGAAATTGAAATGTTGTTGGATTGGGAGCCAGAGTTGATCAACAAGCATGGATTTGATGAATGAATGAAACTTGCAGCAAATTAAGAGACTTGGATGACCACAAGTTTATGTATCGTCATTTGGTAGTACAGAACCTGAACAAGTATGACTGAAAAAATAAAACACATTTTGTCATGGCTTTTTGTCTTGCATTCATCAGAACAATTTCCAACAACACCATTCAAGGGAAAAACCAACATTTTTACTGCATGAGAGCAGAGTGCTGATTGGTTATTACTTTGATGGAGAATGAACAAATTAATCATGACTGACAGTTAACTGCCAAGCTGTGTTTAAGTATTAAACCAGGCAGATTGACTCTGATTGATCACAGCCTTTCCCTGAGAAATGAACCTGTGAATTGCTGTCACCTATTTTGTTGACTTGAAGCTTTCATGCACTGGAAGCTACACACAAATTAATACTTAGAGCTCTGTTCTTTGAAGCCTTGAAGAGCGAAGTGAACATGATGGTTTTTCCTTAAATTGGTATTCTTGTGAATTGTTCTCTTAAGTGCTACACAAAAAGATGCAACAACACAATGCATCTTTTTTCAGCAATATGCAAGTTTATGTGAGGTGAAAGACGGAAGACCAAGAACAGGTCCAAAAGATTTAAGGTTTCCACCCCAACTGAAAAAGTTTAAATAGGCTCCAACAACACATTAACCACACAGTTACCATCCTTCAGTCTGAAATTAAACAGAAGGTTACCAATGGCGCTGATATTATGTTGAAGGCACCAAAATGATCAAATCGAAGTTAGCTAAAACTGAAAGGCACTTGTAGAAGAAACATGTGGCAAAGTATTCGCATACTTTCACTCCACCAGATCACTAAGGATTACTGTGGAGAAGTTTGCAGAATGGGTTGACCAAATGCACCTAATACCACAGGCAGCACAGAGAGACAAAAGAAAACAGGACGGAAGTTAAAAAATGAAAAATAACTGACGAAAAGTATATAATTTCTATATATTAATATCACTTTTGAATTCAGGATTTCAAAATAGAGGCAGATAGGCATTGATTATTTATATGAAGCATTTTTTCCTTAAAAGAATGAGAGTTCTTCCGCAACTAAGACCTAAATAGTGCATCTGTTAGCAAAATAAAAAGTAATTGTAAAGTTGTCACAGTCCCAGAAGACCATAAGGCATCTTTCTCATTAGTTCAACTTGAGGATCACCATGCCTCAGGCGAGGAGGGCCATTGAGAAAAAGGGACATTCATGTACACTTCAGTCAGTACAGGAATTGAACATGCTACTGGTGTCTTTCCGCATCACAAACCAGCAGTCCAGCAAACTAATCTAATCAACCTTCGTTAGAAAGCAGGTGAGTACAGATACCTGTGACACTCATGGAAAGAGGTCTATACTGTTGGGCTTATGACAGATAGGGTAAACATGCAGAGCTATTTGATTTGTTTTCAGTTCAGAATAGTCTTTTAAAGTTCTTTTAAATTCAGATCAGTATACAGCAGGATGAGGCTATAACCAAATTTAATTTCTCTCCTCAGAGTCAGGGCACTTTAGGCAACAAGTCACCTGAGCAGAAGGGTTTAGTTTGTGAACCTTCCAAACCAGGAGAGCTTGGTTAGAAACCTCCGGTTTATTAGAACAAAGTTTAGGCTCTAAACTTGTGAAAAGTCCACAACAGCAGATTTGGAAAGGTCTCATCAAATAGTCTCCACAGTGAAAAAAAACAAACTGGCAGGAGTCATTTAAGAAGAAGCCTAAAGAGTTGAGCTGGGGGTGTAATATCTTTGTGCTCGAGTCTCCATAACAGATAATATTAGGAAACAAAACTAAAATTTTGTTCTCCTCTATGTTTTTGAGATCTTTCCATCTTTCAGATTTCAATAGGTTGTTTTTTAAAAAAATATTGTGTAATAAGCCTATGTTCTATTGTCAAAGAAAATCTGCCGCCACTTGTGAATATGCCTCAGTAACTAAGCACCATGTTAAATAACTGAACAAATGAAAAAAATCTAACAATCTGGGATCTGACTTTTCGAATTGTATCATCAGGTGTGATGAGAGAAATATTTATGCTGGATGGGATGTGTTAATTCAAGTAGTGTCATGGTTAATTACTTTAATTACTTTGATTTGAACTACAAAGGAGTTTCCCTCATGTCTGTGGAAGGTTAATCAGCAAATGTACCAATCCAACAGCTTTCCAGGTTCAAGTCCTGGTCATTTGTGTGTGGAAACAAAGGGATTCTGGTTTCAATGGAGTCAGAACCTCCAAACACGCAATTTCTCAAGAGAATGCAAGAAAGGAAATTGATGAAGAACACTAAAACATCAGAGTGCAAATCATGCAATAAAATTCAACATTTGTTTTAGACTGCGGTCAGTGAAAAAGTGTGCTTTAAATAGAAGCACGCTAAATTAACTTTAATTACTACTCTGTTCCAGCACTGCATGAATTTCCAGGGATGACTGCAGCTGTGAAATTTTCTCAATAAGTTTAATGACTATTTGTTGCACTCCTCCTCTCCCTTCCCTTAGTTACATGGGTATCCAACAGTGAGGATGTTGGAAACTTACCAATTCTTCAACTGGATGGTGACAAGAATCTATTCCCTCTCTATCCAACTTTCTATACAATTTCCAAGTTGCTATTATTGGTGCAAAATGGCAAAGTATTTCTGAATTGGAAGGCAGGAAGCTACAATTTGAGAGTAAAAACGTTTGTGGGTAAGAGAGTGCATAGCGCCTTTAAGGGAGGAGTTTATTTGTGCTTAGAGATTTTTAATAAATGCATGTCTGAGAGCAGCATTTGGAGGTTGCCAGTACAGAGAGCCTCAAAAAAAAAGGGAAACAAGTGTATTAAAAAAAAGCCTTACAGGTGGCAGCAAAACAGCAGTCTTGTTTTGATGTTGTGACAATTAATTTGAATTTGGCCAATTTAAAACAAACACCTAGATACAGAAAGCCAATTGAATTTAAACCTGATGGTGTTGAACCAATCCTGCCTAAGACATATTATGTCGTCACAGGTATAAAGATGAGGGCATTTGGAAAATTGGAGAGTCATCTGCCAAAAGTTCGCACCATTTAGCTCTTAGAGAAAGCCCATCTAATTAATCAAAAGAGTACAGTATTTTAGCTCAAAGTCCTCATTGAAGAAATTAGAGAAAAAAAACATCCCTGACAGCAGAATTAACGGAAGAAAAGCATTAGTGAAGAGAGCAGAGAAGATAGAATATTCCAGAAGACAATCTCTCCAGGTTCGCACAGACTAAGTTTTAATTTATTGTTTTCTTATTAATTGGGTTTATTAAGTGGGACTTGTGTTCCTTTAACAGCATTTCAGTAGAATTTAGACCAGTTGGGAAGCAGTTAGCAGTTTCAGGGGAAATTGGTGGTTTGTTAGTAACTCTGTTAATTTGTTCATTGTTTAGGTTGAATAATGAAGTTATTTCTTGTAACTTGAAGTGGAGATCAGGGATTTTCTTTCTTTCTTTTAATAGTTTACGAAGGGAAAGGTGAGCTTCTCAGCGTGTTTCAGCAGTAATTAATAGAAGGGAACCTCTAATCCCATCATAGCAGATTGGGGCTTGTGTTTTGGTTTAACTATCAGAGGCATTTGGCCATCACGCCACGCCATAATATTGTTTGCATTATGAATGAATGCCAAGAGAAAAGGCTGGGCAGATTGACAGAAATGCAAATCCACAACATACCATTATTTCAGCACAAGATTAATTATGAAACAATGCCATGCCACAAAGTCAACTTATTCTGCCATCTAGCATCTTAGTGTATGAGTCTTCAAACACTGGAGGTCAAGACTCAAATTGAAGCCATCTGTTTCAAATTTATCAGCTGTGTACATATAACCTTCCTCCTTCACATATTGGGGTAAAAAAAAAACAAAATAATTAACTTTCTTAGCAGTTTAGAAAATGCACAATTCTGAAAATTAAGGCAACAAAACTATCTCAGTTGCGCAAATAGCTTAGTTTGAATACGCGCAACTGTAAAACACTGAATAGACCAAAGACTTAATTTTTCTCTCTGCTGTATATCACCATCTTCACCTGCAACATTAGACTGAAATTCTGTTTGCTTGCTTAGGTGGGCATGAACAATTCCTTGGCACTACATGAGTAAGAAAAGGGGAATTCTGGGATGCCCTAGCCAACATTCAGCCTTAAAATAGTGAGGTCTTCAAAATAGGAATCTGTTCAACTAGAAATTCCATGGTGGAAAGCAGAAAAAGTGTTAATTTATTAGTAAGTCACACTAAATTATGTTTTATCAAGCTATCTGTCCATTCACTGCGAGTAGTGGCAGATGCC